ACAAGGGGAATGAAGAGGATCACGTTTATTTTGAAAGAAATATATATATAGAACCACTTACACTGCACTAGGAAGAGCTGCTCTGCTCTCCCGCAGCAGGAGAACAAGAACAGAGCTCCAGGACCAAAATGCACCATCATTTTCCCCTGCTTTGGGAACATCTTCACTATTACATCAACATGAAGCACACCAAAGCTATTTTTCAAGCAGAGAAGACGCCTGTAGCCTCTGCTCTACACTGTGCCACAAGCTATGCTACTACCCATCGGGGATGACATTTTGGAAACACTTTCATTTGATACATTCCCCAAAGAAATTTGCATGCAGGTATATATATATTTTAAAAAATCCAAAACAAGGATAACGATGGCACAAGCACTACAGATGGCCTTCATATTAAAGATTCAAACCTGCCGGCAACTTCTTATGAGACTGTCCTTGACACAAGGGGAGGGAAACCTGACTCGAAAAACACAACATAGTCAAAGGTGAAGGACAATTTGCTCAGCTCTGTTCGCGCAGTGGCTATTTAACCAAGTCAGCCACACATGCCACCTAATCAATGACTCGATGCGGTGACAAACAGGAGACTGAAGCACAATAAATACTCGGTGTCTTGTACTTAAACAAGCAAAGCCAGGTTCTCTCCAGCCCGACAACATTTTGTCATATTCCAGAAGCTGTTTAGAATACCAGCCCTTTAAAGCACATCTATTTTTTCTCCCTCTCCTGCCCAGCCTCCCACCAGCGCAGCAGCATCACAGGGAAGCGGCCTCCAAGGTGCTGCCTTCCTTCGGCAGCTGCCTCCACCTCCATTTCTGCTGAGACCAGGGCAAGCCCCAGGAGCACCGGCAAGGCTGGCAGCATCACACACCCGCACACACACAGTTGCCCCTACTGACATAGTTGCACATGCAGGTTTCACATACACAGACACGCGTGCCCATGGACACACATGCACACACACGCCTGAGTTCTGCGCGCGCACATGTGCGCACAATCACACCCGACTGTAACAGACATGCGCACAGGTTTCACACATGCGCCATGCACACAATCACACCTGACACGTGTGCACGCAGTTTCATACCTGCACCATGCACACACAATCACACCTGACACGTGTGCATGTACAGGTGTCACATGCACGCATCACACCCACTGACACACGGAGATGCACACATAGGTTTTACACACACAATCACACGCACCAGCATGTGTGCATGCACGTACAGGTTTTGCGCATATGCAGCATGTGTGCACAATCGCATCCACTGATGCACACGCAGGTTTCATGCACACAGGCATGCTCATGTGTAGTTTTTAGACACATACACAATCACACCCACCAACACACGCATAGGTTTCAGGCACACACACGTGCACAATCACACCTACTGACACACACAGGTTGCAGACACACCAGCACACTTATGCACTGGTTACACACACGCGCATGCACACACACAGGTTTCAGGGATGCGGATGGGAGGAGAGAGGTGGCCCACCTTCCAAGCCCCGTTTCCAGGCAGGGGGCCGGCCCCAGGCGTGCACACACTGACACAATCACGCTGACACACGCACGCCCCGGCACACTCGCAGTGACACACACTCACGCGCACACTCAGGCCCGGCGGCCGGCGCGCGGCGCTGGTCAGTGCTGGCCCCCCCGCTTGCAGCGGCCGCCCTTGCTCGCAGCCCGGGGGGCGCCCCCCCT